GCTGCCAGCTGGGTACAGCTCCACTCACCACCAGCCCAAACAGCTGGCCAGTTTTCTACCCAGTGAAGAGTGCACCTGTCCAAACCACGAGCAGCCAGTTTCTCCAGGAGAATGCTGTGGGAAATGGTGTCAAAAGCTTTACTTTGATTTACAAAGTACTGTCTGTGCTGCACAGAGCCATTGCCTTTCTTACCACCCATAATACCCATCTCCCTGCGCTGATAGGACAAGGTGGAGACAGCCAAAACTGCTCACAGTAGAGTGTTCTGTGTATGTCTCAGACTGTGTGAGCCAGCGGGGCCCAAGCTCCCTCTCCTGGGTCTTCCAAGGCTCACCTTCATGGGGGTGGACATGTTAGGGATAGGATGCTTGTATGTGTACTAGCCTGGACTAGACAAATAAACATCTTCAGCAAGTAGGGAGAAGAAAGAGATAATGTTCTGAAAGGTGTCCTTGTCCCTTCTCAGGGCAAGGAAAGAGGTGGTGGGATTATACTTGAGGAGACTGGTCAGGCTTGGAATAGATGATAGGAGGAGCTTGTTGGACATTCAGAAAAGCTTTGCTGAATAATTATTTTGTTCTGTAACAGACGGGAAGTAATTTTGTGTATCATCCAAACAAGCTTGTAGGTTGTTTCATGATACAAAATTCTCACATAAATGGAATATTGTGTAAGATAAAGCAAAGCCTGATTTCAGGCTAAACATTAGCCTGTTTTAAAACATGTATGCACATAATCAGATTTTTATCCTTTTAGATAAATGGGAAAGTACTACATTTCATACTCATTATCTGTAGGGCCAAAGTATAAACCTCCAATTTAGACACCTAAATGAATTGGTCAGATTTTCAGATGTTAGTTATTCAGACAGTCTTGGGCAGCATATTTCAGAATAGGACTGTGCCATTTAACTGTAACAGAGCAGCCAAATTGTACAAATATCTATAATTTTTCTCAAAGCAATGTGAATGCTGCCATCTAGCTATACAGTATCAGCATATCTCTAGTCTAGTTCTGCTAGACACAAACCTTTCCAGTTTCAGTTTGGAACAGACCACAATAGAGATTAAAAAAATTACATTTTTTAAAATTTTTTTAAAAATTGCACTTCTGTCAATTAAAAAAGTTGACTGCAGCATTCTTTATTAAAAAAAAAATATAGCATTATAAAATACTATTTTGTCTGCAAACTGAAAGGATAAGAACAACAAGGCTAAAATTATTGCATTTGATGGTGAACAGACCTTGTGAATGACATATTTTACAAATGCAGGATTTCATTTTTCAAAGGTTTACACATGCCTTCAGATAAATGGACTTAATAATAAAGTTAAAACCACACATATGTAAACTGAAGTCTACATCCATTTTCCCGTTCAAGATTTATTTACCAAAGATCAGAGTTTCTACAAAACACTTTGTTTAAGAAATATCCACTTTGTTCTGTTTGATCCATAAACAGTTTGGAAGTGTTTATGTAGTGTCAGCTGAACCCTCAGTATTCTCACAGTACTGTGAGAATGTTTTGTTCTGCTGTGGGTATGGAGGCACTTTGGGATGAACATCATTGCATGCTCAAGATGTTGATCCACCAAGCATCCCACTGAACCAAAGGGTAACCAAAGGAGCAAGAGACAGAAGACACATGCACAGGACTTGTCCTGATATTGAGAAGGCCATGGGTTGTCTCAGCACCTGCACTTGGGAACTAGAAGAACTGATTTTCACATTCACAGAGTGTTATGTACAGAATCAGGCAGAGCCCGACTGCTGTTTGAGTTTACTCAGTGGATAACTACAATCACTCTGGTTGAATTCCTGCCCATCAATTTGAGAAGCTTGTATTTCAAAACAAATAGAGATATACGACTCCTTCAATTTTTTTTTCCTAGGTGGAGAAAACGGATGTAATTACAGGACAGATATGCCACCTAGTTAAACACACAGTCTCTAAGTACAGAGCTTTTGGAAAAGCTATCCACTTCCCACCTGAGGGAAAAAAAAATCTAATTCATCTAGCACACACACAGTGGGACCCCAAATAGACTGTGAAATTTATCCAAGGACAGACACACCTTAAACATAAGATGAGAGGAAATTGACACAACCAAATGTTTTTAATCTAGTATTTTCTATAACCGTGCTAAATAGGACTCTGCACTTTCAATCTTGCATTTTTAATCTTCTGTGTAGCCTTGGACCCCCTTCAAAAAAACCTGTAAAACAACAACCAAGAAACCCAGGATAAATGTCATGATTCAGTGTTATTTATTAGCTGTTTACAATCTTGCTACTGCACTTTTGAAGTGCAAGTGCCCCTCAATAATCTCTCTTTTTTGACAGCAGCATACTTTCCCAACTTTGGTGCTGAAAGAAATATATTTCAACACCTCTGCTGCTTTCTGCAGTCAGTATGGCAAATCATTCTGGAAAACATGTAGCTGCTATCTAATAAAACATCCACTATTCCAAGTACCACAAGGGGGACATGATGGTATAGTCACTCCATCAGCATTTGAATTCATTCTTCATCTGAACTGAACAGCCAGCATCTCAATATTGTATCAACATGTGTGAATAACTTGAGTTTTGTGGTGCCCAGCTTTGCTGTGGTCTGTCCCAGCACCTACAAACCATCCAACAGAAGAACTTTGTTCCCACTAGTCTTAACAGAGCCAGATTATTTCCCTGGTATTTCCTTTTCTGAGCATTTTTGTCAACTCATTTTATGTATTGCTGAATAAACAAACTGAACTCCCAGTCAACTAAAGCTGATCCATTAGCTGTCTCTCGTTCTCCCATTGCTATCCTCATTAGCAGACCCTCCAAGAGCACTTTGATCTCTTTCCAGAAATGTTTTCCTTAGGCTGAACTTGAGAACCATGTTTGTACTATCTCTGACAATTTGAAATATTAAATCTTTATGGGTCCCATAAAATGGTTTTGGTTTTCTGTGCTTGCTCAGTACAAGAATACAGCAGACTGGGGAGACAGCATTTAGTGATTTCACACATGCACATAATTGCTCCCAAAAAAAAAGGCAGGGAAAACCCTTGCACGAGCTGGCAGCAGTATGGCAGCTCGCACACGGCCAAATGCAGTGCACAAATGCTGTCTGGATCCAGATTTGTTTCTCTGAATTAGAGCCTCCTTCTTCCCAGGGCTGTACTGGTAACAGTCAGGTTATTCCACCACCCTCTGGGACTGGCCATCCCAGTATGGGATCGTCATAGGAAGTAGGTGCCTTTTCAGATGTTCCATACCCATCTGCTCTAAGTGCATTATCCCTGCTTGTAGCTCAAGGCTGTCAACGCTGCACAGAGATGCTGAAGATGTGTTCTTGCACCTTAACAAGGCACCAGTTCAGTCTGAGGTCAGTGGCTGGCATAATTTTAAAAAGGTGCAATATTACCTTTGTCAGACAGCTGTTATTGCTGTTTCCTTGCTTGGCCTCAGGATAATTTTTCTCTAAATGATTATGGAGTTTGAAGTCAGAAAAAAGGTAATAATCACAGCGAGATCATCTATTCATCTACCACAAAAGTTTTTACTATTTTTAGGAGCTGTGAAATAATTACATATTCAGTTGTACCCACACAGCAGTGATTTATTGTGCTTCCATCAGTGATTCGGGGGCTGCTGACTAAAAGCACTCTGTCTATGCAGCCTGATTCCCATCGGGTGTGTAACCAGGTTACAGCTGTAGTGGCATTTGGCGTGAGTCAATGAAATTTATTTGCATATGACTAAGTGGTTTGGGAGAATTCTCACATCATTTTTACTCATAGCCTTGCTTCCCCAGGTTTGTTAGCATTTACAGATCAGTTTGCAATCCCTCAATGATTTTACGGTTTGTAATGTTCAAATAAGTTGGAGATGCCTATATACCTTAATTCAGATATATTCACAGATATTGCCTAGCTTGCATAGAACTTCGTGTTATTAAAGCATAAAAAGGAGATATTTGGGGGAAATTATTTTTATGAAAGGGCAGACAAAAACTAAGGAAGTCCATAGTGGACGTTAAGATTGAAATCACTGAAGATATAGCTTACCCTAAGAAGAATTAGCATTTACAAATAAGGTCAAAGACTTGCAGAAAAAACACATAGTTTAAAATTTGAAGATTCAGGAAGCAGTTTATTTCTACAGCTGTAGGAGGGAAGATGTCATGATAGCGATTCACCCCTCAGTCTAATTCTGACTTAAAGCAAAAGTACTAGGGCTTATATAAATTCACAGCAGATGAAGCTGTGCTCCATCTGAAGCAAGCTGCCCAGGGGTGAAACAGCAGAGCAGCCTGTGGTGGAAGGAAAGGTTGTCAGGGCACATGTGCCCATGTGTTCCTATAAGAGCTCAGAGCACAGCCTTGGTACCCACCCGTCCAGCTCATCCCTGCCTTGCTTCTGACACTGCTGCACCCCTCATCAACTTCCGGACCTCGCAAGCTCTGCTCCCACAAAACAATGTTGGCAGATGTTGGAGGATTTGGTGCTGAAAGAAATATATTTCAACACCTCTGCTACTTTCTGCAGTCAGTATGGCAAATCATTGCCATACTGCATGGTTAAAAAATCTTTAGAAGTCCTTCTATTATCTTGCAGACCTGCTTCAAAAAAGAGTGTCATTTTTTGTTATAAAAACGTTTTTTATTTCCTTATAAGCTTTGTGTATACATGCATAACATAATCCAGTGACATCTAGGAGTTACCTGAGCACAACCTACCATTTGTTTAAACAAATGTTTAGGGCCCTCTCCACCAGTCCAAACCCTCATCTGTTTATACACTGCTTCACACACGAATATCATCCTCACTACTGTTTGGAAAGCAGTCCCTGATGTGTGGACAGCTTGTCTCTCATCATGGCTGCAGTTCAGAAAGAGGAACTCTTCCTGATTTGTTGACAACTTTCTCTCTTTCAGCTTGTTCTCTGTTTCTTATCAGTAGGAAAAGGACTGAAGAGTGGGCATGTGAAAAGTTTGGATCACAGAATTCCTAGTAAAAGTGTTATGCTGGAAACCACAATGTGTGACAAATTTCTAGAGATACTTTGGAGCTAAATTAAGCCAAGAGGTAAGCCCATCTGCCAAAGGCAATGCTGGACAGGGCTACTACTACCTTAAGTCAATATTTACCATGAATTTCTTATGGTCTGTGGTCCTGAGTGTGGTGGATTCATGGTCAGTATACACACACAGTACCCAAGAAATCAAATTAGTGAGCCTTAACAGGGCTGGAACCCAGCAACCTTTGGAAGAGCTTGCACGGGTAAAGAGTTATGCACCATGGAATATTAGCTAATTTGCTAGATTTAACGAGGCTAGAAATTTTCAACTTGGAAGTCAAGCTGCAGAAGATTTTTAGCACTGATCATCAAAGCTGCAAATCAGTGATATACTGCCAGATTATATCCAGTAGTTTGAGCAGCTGTTTCACTGAAAAGTTGGAAGTTTGGCTGAGAACATGAGTGTTCATGTTCTAAGGCAAGTGCTGGATGTTTAATGACATCATTTTTGTTTTGTTATTTCACAGCAGCAGTGCACAAATGCAGTTCCCCCCTCCCACAGGCCTGCACTTAGGGCAGCAAACAGCTCCAGCTTGCCCAGGCTGGTAAATAAGTCTCACCTAGAGACAGCCACCTTTGGAAATACAACCTTGATCAGTGCAGCCTGCCTCTTGGCACAATTAAAGTAACAGTCAAAATGAAATGTGAAAGTATGACATGAAAGGGAAGACTTCAGAATGATAGCTTTTAGGTCTTATTTTTCCATTTTTTGGATATTCGTACCAACTACATAACTAGGGTTTAGGTATATGTGCTTTTGTACACACATATACAGCTAATTAGAGTTACAGATTCTTGTTAAAAGATGAACAGATATATAGATATAAATTATTAACTCAATTCCTTACAAAAGGCAAAGCCACTTGGCTACTGAAAAACAATAGGAAAAAAATCCCCCATGGTATCACTGGGGCTACACATTATTTTTCAGTTTGGCATGTTCATCCTAGATGGTGGTGTCAGCCACAGAAACCACAAGACAAAAGAGAAGCGATCTTCCATGTTTCCAGCTAAATTAATTTATAGTAGACCAACATACAACTTTCGGTTCCTCCACACATCAAGAGCAATTAAAAAAACCCCAAAAAAACCCCATAAAAACAAACAAACAAAAAACCCCACCAAACCCAGGACAAATTGCACAGCTCAGTGTTACCTATTAATTGATACAGCTCCTCCCGGAGCTCAGGCCACCCAGCTCCGGGTGACGCCGGAGCCGCGGCCCTCGGGCCCCGCCCGCTGCCGCCTGACCCGGGCGCAGGCGGGGCTGGGCCGGCCTCAGC